AATCTCGTTTAATCTTAAAGTGCATTACTATATTTTTCAAAACCAATTACTTGTTAAAGTTTGTACAATCAGTGGGATCAGTTGCAATGCATATATGTGAATGATAAAAGTAAATTGCACATTTGCCGAAGGAAATGTAAGGTGCTTCATGAAATGTTTTGTAAAAGATATGTTCATTTAATTTCAACATTGTCCTAATGTTCTTGTGCTTCTTTATACTAAAACAAAGGAAAGACATGTTGTTTTGGTTATTTATAGCAAAGTATGGTATCATTTTAATGGTCCGGCCCACTTGACATCTACCCAGGCCGTATGTGGCCCACCATGTGAAATGAGTTTGACACCCCTGCACTAGACGCTCCGCATTATAAGGCGTCCTGACCATTTTGGAGAAAATTTAACACTTTTAATGGCGCCTTATAGTCGTGAAAATAAGGTACTTTTTAATCTTATTTCTAATTTGGGGAATAGAACACAAATTCATCTATATGGATTTTGTTCAGCATTATGATTGCATTTCGCCCACTACACTGTGAAACATAGCAGGCTGATTTTTATGTAATCCAGGTATTTCATTAATTTCAGTGCCTCGCATAAATAGATATGGTAAATGGGCTGTCACCTATATTGTGCCTTCCTACCTTTGTTACTCAAAGTGTTTTACATTGAACCCCCACCCTCTGGTTTGGGAGACGACCACTCAACCACTGAGCCATGCTGCTCCAAATCTGTGAATGCCTAATTTCTTTATTTAAATCAATTTAAGCAATTATTCCCCAACGTGAGCCATCACCTTTCTGTGGTGGAGGGAGGGGTTTGCTTGTCCCATTGATTCTAGGAGATAAGTTGTCTGACACTTTTTGCCTCTGGCAAACAGGTCCTAGGTGAGGGACCAGACAAAGCACGGCTCAGACACACTTGATGTGTCAAATTATTGTTCCACATTTTTCCTTGCCCAGACGCGGATCACCGAGAGACCCTCCTGGAGACAGGCCTCGAGGTGGGGCTCCATGGCAAGTGCCGGGTGAGCAGGCCTGTGCCCATGGGGCCCGGCCAGGCACAGCCCAAAAAGGCTCATAGGTCCCCCTTCCCATGGACTCATCACCTGTAGAAGGGGCCATGGGCCCTGTGAGCTTGGATGTGGCAGGGACCTTGATGGATCCAATCTCCGGCAACATAAACTAGCATTAGGGACATGGAATGAGCCAGAGCTTGTGTGAGACGTAGGAGAGTTCTGACTCGATATAGTCTGGCTCACCTCTATGCACATCTTTGACTGTGGCACCAGTCCTCTTGAGAAGGGTTGCACACTCTTGCACTCTGGAGTTGCCCATGGTGAGAGGTGCGGAGCAAGTGTGGGCATACTTACTGCCCGTGGTTTGTATCCTGTATGTTTGAAGAAGAAGAGCCTGGAGACTCTGAGGTGAGCTCTCCTATCTCTGGACATGAAGTCACCGAGGTGGTTAAAAAGCTATTCGTGGCACAGCCCTGGAGGTAGATGAGATCCACCCAGAGTTTAAAATCTCTGGATGCTTTGGGGCTGTCCTGGTTCGCACGCGTCTAAAACAGCGAGTGGAAATCATGTGCCTCTTGATTGGCAGACCGGGTAGTGGTCCCCCTTTTAAAGAAGGGGGACAGGAGTGTGTGTTGGAGCTAAAGAGGAATCACACTCTTCAGCCTCCCTGGTAAGGTCTATTCAGGAGGCCTTGAAAGGAGGATCTGTCAAGAAGTCAATTCTCAGATTCAGGAGGAGCAATGTGCTTTTGGTCCCAGCCGCGCAATGACAGACCAGCTCTGCAACCTTAGCAAGGTCTTCGATGGTTTGCATTGCCGGCAGTAATTCCCATTTATTTCTAGTTAGGGTTGGACCTCTCCAAGGCTGCAATTTGTCACTGATTCTGTTCATTCCTTTTATGGACAGAATTTCTAGGCACACCAGAGACTTTGAGAGAGTCCGGTTTGGTGGCCTTAGGATGCATCTGTGTTTTTTGCAGATGATGTGGTGGTATTGGCTTCTTCAAGTTGCAATCCAACTCTCACTGGAGCGGCTCACAGCTGAATGTGAAGCAGTTGGGATAGAAATCAGCACCTCCAAATCTGAGACCATGGGAAAAGGGTGGAATGCCCTTTGCGAGTCTGCCCCAAGTGGAGGAGTTCAATTTTATTTAAATTTCTTGGGGTCTTGTTCCCTAGTGAGGGCAGGATGGAACGGGAGATTGGTATGCGGATTGGTGCAGGGTTTGCTGTGATATTGACTCTTTATTGCCCCATCGCAGTGAAGAAGGAGCTGAGCCAAAAGACAACGCTCTTGGTTTACCAGTCAATCTACATTCCTACTCTCACATTTGGTCACAAGCTGTGGGTCAGGATGACTTAAGGAACAAGATCTCGGCTACAAGTGGCCAAAATGAGTTTTGTCACCACGGCTTTAGAGATAATGTGAGAAGCTCAATCATTTGGGAGGTACTCTGATTTAAGCTGCTGCTCCTCTACGTTGAGAGGAGACAGATGAGGTGGCTTGGGCATCTAATCAGGATGCTTCCTGGATGCCACCCTGGTGAGGTTTTCCGGGCATGTTCCACTGGCAGGAGACCTTGGGAACAATACAGGACACGCTGGAGAGACTGTGTCTCCTGACTGGCCGAGGAAGGCTTTGTGATCACTCCGGAAGAGTTGGAGGAAGTGGCTGGGGAGAGAGAAGTCTGGTTTTCCCTATCAAAGGTTCTGCCCCCATGATCTAGCCACGCATAAGCAGTAGATAATGGATGGATGGATGGGTGGATGGATAGATGAATAAACAGTTCCTCATGAAATTGTCAGTTTTCGAACAAGCCGAGAAAAGTTTGGATCCCAAAAGTGTAGACTCCAACAAGGTCTCCGTTACAAAAATGTTTAATACAAAAATTCGCACCGACAAAGTAGAACATAAAGCGCTGGTCCAAACAAGGACCAGGAAGAACAAAGCAAAAAACGAATAACAAAAAGCGCTTGCACCAAAAGGCAAGAGAGGAAAACTAGTCCCGAGAACACAAACGAAAAACAATGTATCAACTACACGCAAGAAAAAGCCAATTCACAAAACAAAGCCATACATACAAGAACAATGTTACCGAGAGTATCAAAAGCGTGAACACGACGATGTCTATAGCAAAAGCGGTCTGAGAGCATGGAAACAGCAAGGCAGTAAACAATACTCCGACACAGGTGAACTGAAGCAGAGTCCTTAAATACATGGTCCCATAATGACTGGATTGGCAGCAGGTGTGCACAGAAGACCGCACATGCCACATGCTGGTCAGACCAGAAACCGAATCGTGACAGAAATAAGGTTCTAATTTTTCCTTTTCTCTGTATGATTTACAAGTAGACTTAATCTTACCATACTTTATAAAACATAATTATTCAATCGGATTATTCATGACAATGTAATTTACTCAATGATCCATTTATGCACTGCCCATGTTTGCATGGGTTGAGATCACCGGCTGTACCACCATTATCTCACTTCCTACTTTATTTTCCCTGGTGCATATAAATTTAATGTAGCAGTAGGTGCTAGGCTGTTGGTATTCAATGGTTACATTGAGTAAAGGAGAAACTTAGTGTATATGGTGAAAGTCACAGGGTTACAGCAAAATATCAATACATGACTGCAAGAACAGTGTTTGTGAAAAAGCCTTTGAACTTGGATGCTTAACGCTAACATCCCATTTGACAGCATAGTTAACACTCACTGATGCTTATTTTATCACTTTCTCTTCACAGACTATATACATGTTCTGTGCTCTAGCCGTGGTCTGTGATGACTACTTTGTTCCCTCCCTGGAGAAGATATGTGAGGTATAAATATGTAGATAAACAATTCTGTCTGTTTGCATAACTTTTGAGTGTGGATGGCTTGAGATGATCACCCCTGACCACCACTGACATATTCAGTTTGGCTCAGATTCAATCAGATTGGAGAAGGATTCGATTTAAAAAAATATTTGCACCATTATAAGAATTGAGTTTCCAACTTTTATCAATATCAGGACTCTCATCAAATTTGAATTGGAACATCTTTGTGAGATCATCACAAAGGAAAAAAAAGTCCAGGTTGCAAATAAAAACACACAAACAAAACTCAACATCCTCAGCAGAAGTACATTATATACAATGTCTCTGTCCATCCATCCATCCATCCATCCATCCATCCATCCATCCATCCATCCATCCATCCATCCATCCATCCATTCATCCATCCAACCATATTTGGTACATCTTATTCTCATTAGAGTCTATACCAGCTGACTTTGGAAAAGAGGCAAGATACATCTTGGACAGTATCTATCAGTATCTAACATCATGTCAGTATCTAGACACTGGTCTTGAGACCATATTTTGAAAGTTTCTCTGTCCCTACTCCTAAAAGTCTTGGGGCACCATTTTCGTAAGCCGGCGCTTGGGATAAAAAGGGTCGCCCACTGTTTTGGTACCAAGGCATTTCGAGTCTAGTCCAGTGTTTTCAATCTTTTTTGAGCCAAGGCCCGTTTCTTTCATTGAAAAAATCTTGTGGCACACCAGCAGCTGAAAATGTGGAAAAAAAGCTTATTTTAACATCTAATGTGTAACAGTGGTCCCTCGCTATTTCGCGGTCCATTTATCGCGGCTTCAGTGCATTGCGGATTTTTTCAAACACATTCATAAAAAATATATATATAGATATATATATATATATTATTATTATTATTTTTTTTTTGAAGTCCGCAAAAAGTCCGCAAAACGGTCTGCGAGAAGCAGCGAAAGTCAGCAAAACAACAGTGAGTCACATAGAGCAATATATGCAGTACATGTGGGGTGAGGGGGGAGCTGAGAAGATGCAAAGCCATGTTGATTGACTGTGCATCTTCTTTCTGTCTTATCACGTGGGTTACTCTTTGATCTTTAATCAGTGTCTAAGTGTTGTTTACATGCGTGCTCGTGCGCGCGTGCGTGCGTGGTGTGTGTGTGTGTGTGTGTGTGAGAGAGAGAGAGAGAGAGAGAGGAGGCTAATAAGAACAAAAGCAGGTCTCTTCCATCCTTAATTGTCTAATCATCATTATTGACTAATCATAAACACGTCTGCCGGCACACCACCGGATCGCTGGCCTTTGTGTGTGTGTTTGTGTGTGTGTGTGTGTGTGTGTGTGTGTGTGTGTGTGTGTGTGTGTGTGTTAGTGCACTCTGCTGAAGCGCGAAGGCCCACGTGGGGCTTTTTTTTTTTTAATATGTTTATTGGTCTCTACTTCGTGGATTTTCGTTTATCGCAGGTCGTTTTGGTCCCCATTAACCGCGATAAACGAGGGATTACTGTATATTGTTATTATAAGCGTTTTTTTAACTTTGAAGAATGACGTTATATTACAAATTGGAATAGTAATCAAATAAACACAAAGAAAAAAGTATTTTTAATCTTTCATATTTATTCTCACTGATATCCTGGCAAGAATCGATGAAATACACACACAAAGCTCTTCCTCCACAGCTGTCACTCTTTCTCTGCTTTTAGTTTTTACAGCAGTAAGGCATAGGTATGTTGTGGAAAAAGGGAGCAATGTAAAATAGTTTGTTGGCCAGCATGGGGAACTCCTTGGCAAATTTATTACTGATATGGATCTTGTCAAAACCACACTTTCGATGTCTGCAGAGATATCATCAATACATCTGTAAATTGTGTTAACTGAAAGAGGGACTTTGACTATTTCTATAGCCACTTTGGGTCCAGCATCTCATTTACAATGGCTTTGCAAGCGCTAAGTATTAATTGCTCTGCCACAGTGTGGGACTTTTTTGATTTAGCCACAAGTTCAGTGATGTGATAGCTAGCTTTAAGGGCTTTCTTGTTTACCTTTGCAGGTTTTCTCATTTACGTTGCTTGTTTCTCCGGGTGTACCCGCCGGCGGACAAACTACTCCACATTTTTGCTTCAAAGTGAAGGGTACTTTAATATAAAATATACTGGCTGCCCAACAGCCATGAAGTAGCCTATATTGTACATTTGTTGATTACAATGCTGTATGTACAGTATGTGTGGCAGACAGACCAGAGAGTGGCATATTCTTATCCCCCAACACACAATCACAATTGTGGAAATGTTCCTAAATTAGGGGCCAGTGAATTAATATGTCTTGGACAGTGTGGGCTTGAGCACAACAGTAGCATCCAGTCATTATATATTGAATGCATATTTGAGTCTTGGAAATATTTTCTCAACTCAACTCAACTCAACTGTATTTATAGAGCACTTTCAAACAGCCATCGCTGCATACAAAGTGCTGTACATGTAACATTTTAAATATGTTGTATTTGTTTCTGTACCAAACAGACAAAGTTGATCATTACATTTGTATGTGTTAGCAAGATGATGAAATATAAGTTGGGTCGAACCATTGATGCCTTTTAATGTACAGATGGGTGCCAAAAAATGTGGATATCGAATACAGTATCGGGAAGTTAATTTAGTAATTTGTTTGAAAAAGTGCAACTTTTATATGATATGAATTCACCATATACAAAGTGAAAAATATGTCAATCCTTTATTTGTTTTAATAGTGATGATTATTACGGGAAGAGATAAAAACACAAAATTCAATCTTTCGCAAAATTTGAATATCATGACAAAGTTCAACATTGTTTGGGCCCTGTTTCCCTATCTTGTCACAGCTAATTAAAGCAAAACACCTACAGAGGATTTCCTCAATCTTTAAATGGTCTTAGTCTGGCTGAGTAAACTTAGAATCATGGGCAAGACTACTGACTTTACGGTTGTGCAGAAAACCATCATTGACACCCCCCATAAGGAACAAAGGTCTAAAAAAAAAGAAGCTGGATGCTCACAGAGAGCACTGTATCAAATGGCATGAGCAGAGTGCAAAGAGGAAGTATGGCCACAAAAGGTGCCCAAGTAACAGGCATGACTGCACCCTTGAGAGGATTGTCAAGCAATGGTGTTTCAGAAATCTGAGGGAGCTTCACAAGGAGTGGACTGAGGCTGGTGTCAGTACATCAAGAGCCACAATTTATAGATGTCTGTATGACATGGGCTGCAGGTGTAGAATTCCATGTGTTAAGTCACTCATGAACCAAAAAACAACATGAGAGGCCTTTGTGCTGGAGAAGGAGAAAACGTACTTATCTGTTGCCCACTAGTCCCACATTCTCCGTTCAGATGAAAGTCAATTTTGCATTTCACTCGGAAATCCAGTTCCCAGAGTCACAAAAGTCACACTGCCAGTCAGTTCAGTGTGAAGTTAGAAATGGTTTAGGGTGCCATGTCATTTGCTCATGTGGGTCCATTGTCTTTTATCAAGTCCACATTAAATGCAGCTATCTACCAGGACATTTTAGAGCAGCGGTCCCCAAACTTTTTCCTGTGAGGGCCGCATAAGCTTTGCTTCTGTGATGGGGGGGGGGGGGGGGGGTGCGGGACAAGAAAAAGGGTGACCGCAAGAGTACGGAAATGTAAAAATGGATTGTTTTCCATAAACCCACACAAAATGAAGCCGCCTCTTGACAGATGAGACTGACAGACGTTTCTTTGCACTGAAAGAAACAAAAACAAAAACATCGTTTGTCCACTTTGGGTTAAATACCCCGCATTCTATTTTTCTCTTACCGAACCTTTTCGCCATGATCCCGTTCTCTGAGAGAGGTGCCGGTTTCGGATTTTTTTTTTCTGGCGTTGCCAGATAACGGCACAGAAAGATGCACCAAATGTCACCTTATTGTATCTGTGTTTATGAAATAGTTACTAATTAATAGTTAATAATGAAAACGGTTCAGAACTAAGGAACATTTTATTGCAAAAGCCCAACTTTATGATCAAAGACAAATCCACATCGATGAAAAATAAATCAAAATACTCTGTGGTATTTTCAGGGGGCCGGACCAAATGCGGAGGCGGGCCGGATCCGGCCCGCGGGCCGTAGTTTGGGGACCCCTGTTTTAGAGCATTTCATGCTTCGCATTGCCGCCAATTTTATTTTTCAACACGATTTGGCACCTGCCCACAAACCCAAAAAGTACCAATACCAGCCATGAAACAGTACTTCAGAAAACTCACCTGACGTGAACCCCATTGAAAATTTATGGGGTCTTGTCAAGAGGAAGGTGAGGGAAAAGAAACCCTAAAATGCAGACAACTTGAAGACCAATAACACATCTTGAGCTACAATAACTCCTGAACTGTACTAAAGGCTGATCACCTCCATTGCACACCACTTTGATGCTGCAATCAATGCAAAAGATGGCCCAAGAAATTGCTCAGGGCATATTACTTTCATACACTTTTCAAAAAGCCAACATTTCTGTGGTTAAGATCCTTTCTTGTTGCTCACATGAAATATTCTTTTGTATTTATTTAATTTTGAGAAAGACTGGATTATTTTTTTACGTTTTTTTTTTTGTGTGTTCCTGCCATAGTCATCCAAATTGGAACAAATTAAGACTTGAAATATTTCGATTTGTCAGTGGTGAACTAATATAACATACAAGTTTCACTTTTTGAAACAAATGATTGAAATAAATGGACTTTCCCTCGACATTCATTTGTTTTTGGCACCCGCCTGTACAATTCTCCTCACCACTTTTGTCTTTTTCCATCCTGGGCGTTGCAGCATCTTCATCTCAGTGAGGACGTGGCAGGTGCAACCTTCATGGCCGCAGGCAGCTCAGCTCCTGAGCTCTTCACGTCCATCATTGGTAGGAAGAGATACAATCAGCCGGAACATGCACTGCATGGCTGTAGCATGTACATAAAAAAAAAAAAATTAAAAATCACGCAATGCCAAGTAGCTTTAAATAGCTTTTTTTCTGTCATCTGTAAAATCGGGATGTCTTTGTCTGATACATTGGGTTGATAAACATGAAAGTCTCAGGAAATTATATTGAGAAGATCCCAATTGTGTTCACAGCACTGTATGTATATTTGTATAAATATCTTTGAATGCGTGTATGTATATATGTATGTACTCGTATGTATGCCTGTGTGTACTGGAAGCTTGTATGTATGTATGTATCTATTTATATCTATGTAGATATGTGTGTGCCTGTGCTTTTGTGTGTAATTTGGCTCTTTCTCCCCCAGGGGTGTTTGTCACCAAAGGTGATGTGGGTGTGGGCACCATTGTTGGCTCAGCAGTATTTAACATACTCTGCATCATCGGTGTGTGTGGCTTCTTTGCAGGACAGGTATGATATATTTGTCGATTTGCTGAGCTGGTGAGTGGCTTTGAGTATTGAGGAAAGAGAATGAACGAATAAACTTTCGATAATCATGTCTGTGTTGTTTTGTACAACCTACAGTCTCCTGTTCCCAAACATTGACAGTGTTCCTATTTAAGACAGTTGTTGTATAAATGGAAATACAGGACCAAGATTACATTGCACCCCAGCACACTCGTGGTTCTGCACCTGTGTATTCACCTAATGGTTGAATTTAAAAAAAAAAAAGTACACTTTTATTTTTTGCTCTGTTGTTTTTTTTTTGGAGCCAACCCCCATTTGTCATGGAAACCGCTCAATGGATGTTTATCCCTGTTTTTTCAGGAATTTTAGGGGTGAAACTGATTTTTTTTTTTTTTTAATGCATGTATAATTGGCATCAATCATTCTCTGGTTTTTGACATTCCGTATCACGTACGACTGGCGTGGGTCTACTGTAATATGATTTTTACAAGCGTCAGACTTAAGATTGCAGACACACAGATCATATAAAGATCATCCTCTGATTGACGCCATCTGACATGCAAACGGGAAGGCCGGGCCCTTGCATTAAATTTTACATTGTACAAGAATAAGCTCTTTGCTCTGAAAAATACACCCGACTCGAGAGTGATGCAATCCCCGATTGCACATTATGTAATCATAGTAAGATAATGAGGTAGCAACGCAGGCCATGTGATGGCTTGCAGTGATACAGTGCAGGAAATTCTGCATCTTGTCCGTCAAATGCACTTCATAGCACAATGCTCATTAACTCGAGTAGTAAAAATAATGACAAGAATACCATATTGGCCCGAATATAGGACGGTGTTTTTTGCATTGAAATAAGAAAAGTGGGAGTCATCTTATATTCGGGGTCTAGACATTATACCCATTCACGACGCTAGATGGCGCCAGATATTATTGAAGCGAATGCTGAACTTCACTCCCCAGGCCAAAGTGAACCCCTGTCACGTAGAGAATAAAAATAAAAATAGTGGTCGCACGAAGAAGAAAAATAAAAAATAGCGGTAAGAAAGAAGAGAAGAAAACAATAGGAGAGATAACAGAAAATGGAGAAACGTAGCGACAATCTGGAGAAAAGTGGGTCGAAGATCGGCAGGTGAGAAGTTATGATGTACTGTAATTTACATTTCAAAACCAGAAGCCATTCATTTACGAATGTGATTGTACTTTAGATTTGAATGAGGCAAAATAACGTGCTTTTTCTCTCAAATATATTGTTATAATCGTTTGTTTCAGATGTACTGTAATTATTTTCTGTATGAAAATTAATTTGGTGTTCAAAAAGTCTTTTTTCAAACTTGAGTCTTGAAAAAGAGGGGGTCGTCTTATAATCAGGGCCATTTTATATTCAGGCCAATATGGTAGTAGAAGTAGTAGCAGTAGTGATAATACATCAAAACTTTCTCGGGTGGAAATGTCATCCTCTGTGGAGTTTGCATGTTCTCCCTATAATTGTGCCCGGCCTCCGACTTTCTCCCAAATGCTGTATGTATGGCAACATGGTGTGCTACTTAACTATCGTGTATGATCACAGCTTTGTGGTTCTTTCTTAAATTCTCGGCTCATGACACCCACAGCCTATTAGCCCAATGCTCACGTCTTTGCACAGACTTCCTGTTGCTCAGACAATAGACTTGAAAACATCTCTGTTCTGGGACAAGTCTCTTTGTGGTCGACGCCAAAGTGCATCTTTGACACATTAGAGCCATACAGACCTTCTCAGGCTGTGGGAATCTCAGCAAGGATTCTCCCGCTGGTGCTCAGTTTCGACTAAAGAGGATGAGGTTGCATTTTTCCATTATAGCTTGCTAAAATCTGCAAGTCTTGTAGAACGTGTGAAATGGGCGTCAACTATATATATAAATCTATATTAACACAGTTCTATTTAGCTGTGCGTATGGCAACGGAAAATACTTTATTTTTTTCACTCCTCACCTTTAATTTGATATTATTCATGATTTTGCTTTCTGGAATGACCTAAATTGCCTTCTTAAAATTTTTCACACAAAATGGAAGGCAGCTGCAGGATGCAGCATCACAGATTTCAATTGGGAGGGAGTTACTGGGGTTTGTGCAGGAGGAGGGGGGTGAGACTTTCAAAACCGTAATTGTGAAAGATGTCACCCTTTTATTTGCAGAGCACAAAATAAATCAAGCATGAGTAAATATTTTCAACTTTGCCATTCTTTGACATTTTACTTTACAACAGCACTCATAGCATACTTAGCTGGAAGTAGTGCCTTCAAGACTTGACAGAAAGGGAAACCCTGGTTTTTCTTTTGAATCTTATTTCAAAAATACTCCAGCACCTTTTCTTTTTTTCTGTATGACGGTATACACTGAGGTCAGTTTTATTATTCTTATGTTCACGTCATTATGTTGATTGATGTATGTGTGAAGAAACATTTGCCGTTTCACTATTCAAGTGTATTTCTCTGTATCCCTCTAGGCAGTGAAGCTCTCTTACTGGGCTCTCCTCCGAGATTCTGTTTACTATATCTTTTCTATCACAGCCCTTATTGTGGTAAGAGACTCATTTCGGGACCCTGTACCCTTCAAATTTCATGCATTGGATTTCTCGACCACTGCAATATCATAACGATCATTTTTTTTTCTTAAAAAAAATTCGTTTGAAATATTCTGTTTGATCTTGTTTCCCTCTGATGGTCAAACGTCTGAAAAGCATATATTGCGAAACAAGCGTAGCTTTTTAGGTGAAATTTCAGGACAACACCTGTGAATTTTGCCATTCAGCTTCTTGTTGGACAACATGAACGTGTGCACCAAGGACTGAAATGTTGAATAGGTGAATATGTACTTTAAAAAGTTGAGAAAAGGTCAAATTAAGTTAACCGTGAAAGGTTAAAATGAGTTTTACGTGTGTCCTGAAATTTCCCCCATCGACAATCACTGATTCTTGATACAGTATATTTTGTTCAAGATAGTGTTCTCTGGGGGAAAAATATGAAAAAGATTCAGACTCTACCTTGAATGCTCACACCTCACATTGTTTTGTCAGTTATAATAAAATAACAAGTCCCATTTTTCTGTGTGCTTCTCTAGTTCATCTATGATGAAAAGGTGTGCTGGTAAGAAAAAAAATTTATTGAATTATTTTGAATCCAATTGTTCATCTAAGAGAATAACTCGATTTGTTGTCTGTGCTTGTGTCAAGGTGGGAGTCTCTCGTCCTGATTCTGATGTATGCAATCTACATCCTCATCATGAAGTGAGTTACCTTCGGCTGAACCTCAATCTGCTGAATAGAAATATGGGCTCTTTGCACTTCATTTCCCGTGTTCCTGAAATACAGCTCTGTCTTTTCTGTTTTAGAAAAATATTGTATGATATGTAGGTTATTCGACACGTTTTTTTTCACTTTTTTGTTTTTTGTTCCAGGATTTCCTTCTCAGCTTTTCATTCATGTTTTAGGATGATTATGTGCTGTTTACTCGAGGCAGTGAATCCACGGCTGTCATATTGCACAATATTCGAAAAGGGTCAACTGTATTATCTATCGATAGGATGTCACGTTATGTGAAAAGGGAGTCAAGTTCTGGATGATGCAACTGTGTTTTTTGTCCCATCTGTCACGATCAGGTTTAACAATAGTGTCCAGAGTTACCTCAGCCATCGGAAGAAGAGCTCAGTGAATCTGGTCAATGCGTTAACAGGAAGCAGTGATCTGGAGGATATTCATTGCGATAGTAACTCCGCCTTGCTCAAGAAAGGTAACAATCTGTTCATCCATTTCACGCAATCTTCAGTCCACATTATCCAAAATGGTACCTAGGTTTTAGCAGCATATGCAATGTTTTCACTCTTCCGTGCTTGCTGAATCTGTTCATCGTGTGATGTCCGAATGTACTTTCCCGTTACATGATTTCTACTCAGTGATTTTTGCTTTCAATTTCATCTATATAAAAACCACACAGACTGTCGTGTTTTGAGTGTTGGCCATGCACCGAAAAATGGAGGCAGGAGGAGCAGGGTGGACTGAACCCAATATATTTACGACAAAAATACTTGCAGGAGTACACTGGGAAAAAACTAACTGAAATACACGAACAAAGTCCTGAAAACCACATGAAAACCAAAGTAACAAATAATCAAAAAAAAAACATGAGTGGAGCACAATGATCTGACAAAGACCAACAGAACCCAAGAAACTAAATACAAGCAACGTGACGAGACAACAAACACCTGGACAATACACAAAGGGTTGAGGGAGCTGATTGGTTTAACACAAGGGACCCGGATGACAAGAACAGGTGGAGACAAAAAGGCACATGATGGAACAAAACCAAATGTAATCTCAGTGGCGGGTCGTGCATTTCAACCTTAGGCCTTCAGTGACGTCACATACATGAACACGATACTGTATAGGCTCGTCAAGCAGCACTTAATTTCAGGAGCATTTAAAACCATCAAGTATGCATTCACAATTAAGAGCAGGAAACTACATTTACAGATAGTCAAAAATAAAAAGATGATTTAAAAATACGAAATAAAATGCCACCCAAATTAAGCTGTGTGATCTTAAACAAGTCTGTCCAATAAATTGCGCAGTGTCGCAGTTTCATATAAGACACCAACCAAACAATAACAAAACAAACT